TTAAAGAGCAGTTGTCGTTGGTAGCTGAAGCTATAATGTCTGCAGCTGACATTATTAAACCTGTAGTTTGAAAATAGGAACAGCGGATCGACTTCTTCTACAAAGAATGCATGCCCGATAAAATAAGAACTTGTACACTCATATAATGATGGTACACTTCCCTAGGTATTCTCACAGAATTTAGTCTTGCCTCAAAGAGGTTTTATGTATGTTACGTTGACCAAAATTGTTTACTATTCACATTCGTATTTACCAAGTTACAGAGTCTGGCTACCGAAGAGTATACCAAGGTAAACGGATTAGATATTAGTAATTGAAGTCTGCGATAATTTTGTCAAAAACACATTCTTTCGTTGCTTGGCTTCTAAACACAATTTTGTTTATCAGTGAGATGATGTGCTGGAGCAAGTTTCTGAAATCATAATCCTCCCATTTGTGTACCTTTCACTATTTGTAAACGGAAGACTGAAGTGAACAACTGAAAAACTACCTAGTGTAACTGGTGTAACTGGTCAATGGCCAGAATCGCCATTCATGCAGACAAACTGCAATAAAAATTATACTGAAACTGTTTTTATTGGACTTTCTCTTTCGACATTTACATTCAACAGATGAGCACCTCAATCTGACTAGTCAGAGGGATTTACAGTAAATTTGAACGTATTAAAAAAGCAGTAATTAATTGAAAATTTTCCTTTGATCAGTTTTGGATGAATAGACCGTTTTACAGTTATCTATTCAGTGACCTGGGGCCCGTTTCTCGAAAGCTCCGGAAACTTTTCGGACCCGCAAAGCCATTTTTAGTTCATCTGTATCTAAAAACGGAGAAGTGTATACGCCTGAGACTTCTTGTATGAAGGGAACCTCTGTTCATATTAAGAATTTGTGGATACAACAGCTCTGTAATCATAAGGTTCGAGATTTTGCTATGGCTTTCCGGGTGCGAAAACTTTTAGGGACGTTCGAGAAACGGGCTCCTGGCCTTTGACTGGCAGCGAGGCTGGAGTTGATCTTGTTTTGATACAGACCTCACTGCTTTTGTTGTGTAAATCAACTTGTTCTTATACTAACTACCCTCCAGCCTCGCTTGCATTCATAGGCCAGGTAACTAGGCACACAACTGTAATAATGGCCTATCGTCTCGCGCAAGAAACAACCAATTACATTCTTCGTAAGGGTCAATCAGGTACGTCATCAGTCTAGAATCTTAGGTGTCCCTCGACGGGAGCAAGGAAGGAACGAGTTTAAAAATACGTGCATTTATACTAGTGTCATCTTTTTAGAACCGTAAGGAAGGCTTCGTGAGGAACATCTACTTTTCCTATCCTCTTCATTTTCTTTTTCCCTTCTTTCTGCTTCTGAAGAAGTTTCATCTTGCGCGTGACATCACCACCATACTACAAAGAAAAGACAAGAATGTCTAGTTACACAAAAAGGGCAATGTGAAGGTAAAGTCTGCATACGAGCCAGTCCGTTACTTATCCCGGTTTCAGTGGCATGAAGCGACTAGAAGTGTTTCTACTCCCCACCGAATGGGATGCTAGTCCATCACAGGGTTACCTCCCTGCATTAAATTCACCAGTACCCATTTATACACCTGGGTGGAGAGAGGTACTGCGAGAGTAAAGTGTCTTGCCCAAGAACACAACACAATGTCCCCGGTCAGGGTTCGAACCTGGACCGCTCGATCCGGAGTCGAGCGGAGAGAGGAGGCCACTGCGCGTTTAACGTAATATAATTGCAGACTTACGCATTTTGCCGTGACGTCCTTCCTGACAGGTTTAATACTGGAAGGATTTTAAAAAGAGATCAATGCAATTATTAACATGATTACAACCACTAAGAACAAACGGAACGACTGTCGGACCATGAATGTTCCCCGGTGCGAAGGTGTTGGTTGAGTCGTCACGCAATTCTCCTTCCCAGAAACGTTGCGTGACAACTGTTAAAACGGTAATAAGGGAAACAGTACTTACGTTTCTCTGGCTGTGATTTTTCCTCTGATTGAAGCTTGGATCACTACTTCAAATAGCTGCCTGTATCGTAAAGGCAAACAGCCATTGAATATTCGAGCTGTTTCATGCTGACTGGCGTAAAACTTAAATCTATGTAATCAATCTGGTCAATGAAAACAAACTCGATAACGTAATGAACCAATCAGGATTCGATGAAGAACGTGTTATCAGTGCGAAATGCAGCCGGTTCCAAGCGCGGGAAAACATGCCAATGATCTCACGTGCCGGAAAACATGACACCGATGTCAAGCGCGGGAAAACATGCCAATGATGTCAAACGCGGGAAAACATGCTCCTGATGCCAAGCACGGGAAAACATGTCACTGATGTCAAGCGCGGGAAAACATGCCACTGACGCCAAGCGCGGGAAAACGTGTCACTGATGTCAAGCGCGGGAAAACATAACACTGATGTCAAGCGCGGGAAAACATGCCAATAATGTCAAGCGCGGGAAAAACACATCTTTTGTCAAGAACGAGAAAACA